TACCTCCAGCGGATTAGCAGCCTGCTTTCTCCAAGAACGTAAAAGCACAGCAAATCAAGTCCGCACACATCGCAGCAGCAACACACTCGTTGGCCGGTGGCTCCTCGTTGAAATCGGCACGTGCTGCGTGGCTGCCTGGGTGGCAGCAGCCTCCCTGACGCCCTCCCCCTTCTCATTAGACACTGCTCCCAGGAGACCTTCCTGCAGCAAAGTGCCCACCTTTGCCCATAGGTCTCTACAGGACACCACTCCGCTGGTGCTGCAGACACCAAAAAGGGGCTCGGACGCACGCACAGGACTCAGCCTGCTGACACTGGGAGGGTGGCACAATACCTCCAGCTGTCCTGCCGTTGCCTTTCCAAACACATGCTCCCTTGCTGCTTTGCTGCAGCCAAGGATGCTGTTGGACCCGCTGCAAAGCCCCAGTTGGGGCCTTCTTCATGAGCCTTGACAGAGAAGACGAGAAGGGCTCCATAAAACAGAGACGGGCTCGTAAAACCCGTGTTTGACAGCAGAGAAGTGCCTGTAACACCAGCGTTTCACCTCCATGCCCTGGGATCCCAAACTTTGCAAGCACTGCCAAGACAGTGCCTGCAAATTTGGCCCTGACAAAGAGCCATCACCCTTCACTGGCCACAGTAGCTGCGCTCCTTGAAGCTCCCACATTTCCCTTCCCGTGTGGAGGAACAGCTTCTGGGCACGTTCAGACCGTGCTGGCCCTTGGACACAAGCAGGAAGCCGTGCTTGAAAAGCCAGCTCTGCTTTCAGGTCCACACACCCACTGAGAGCCCAGGGCAAGGACCCACCAGGGCCCTCAACTGCTTTTCCTTCCTGCAGGCACCTGGACTGGGCTCTGCCATACCCCTCTGGTTCCCCTGGCTTTTTCTATGAACTCCAAGAGCCCTCTGCTCCCGGGAAGAAAACAGGAACCAGGAAGACCTGCACCTTTGGTGTGATAAGTATTTCTAGCATTATCAGAAAAGAAAAAAAAAGAAAAAAAAAGAAAAGACCTTGCTTTTCTTATGTGAATCCTCAAGATTTTGTGCCCAAGAGCCAGGAGGACGCATGCAATGCTCTTGCACTCTCCTGCCCTGGCGAGTGCAGCACAGAGGAGCAAAGAGGGGAGCGATCACAGCGATTCGGAGTTTCCCGTGGTTACTGAGCTTGCAGTGAAGGACAGAGCGGCTCTAGCGTGCGGTGCCTTGCGCTCGGAGGAGTGATGTAACCGCTTGCTCGCTTGGCTGCGAGCCCGCCAGCCCTGGGGGTTGCAGCGCGCTGGCGTTTCTCGTGCCATGCGTATCTGCTCTGGCTAAATCCCACTTCCCAGAACATATTTTAAGGAAACCAAAAGAAAGTGGTTTGTCAGAGTCCAGCTAACTCAGGCCACAAAGCCCTGCTGAGCCAGAGCAGTTCACAGCGGGGGCGACGTGCAAGTTTCGCCTCCTGCCCCGCTGGGTGCGGTGCGGAGATGGTATCGCCATGGGGCCGGCGGGAAGGGGCTCAGCTGCCAGCGGCACCGTGCGGGGGAGCCAGGCGGGGGCCCAGGCCCCCGCCCTGCCC